TTCGGATGGCGAGGCCTCCCTCGCCGCCTTGAAGACCCGCGTCGCAGCCAGGCTGTAGGGGGATCATGGCGTCGAGACAGTCCCTGGGGAGCGCTGTCGGCGTCTCCCGGGGGAATGGCCTCGCCGAGCACGCTGCGCGCGAGGTGATGGCCAATATCAGGACCGTGAGGGCGCAGGCCGACGACCTCCACGGCGTGAGCATCGGCGCCGACCACCCGGTGATCCCGTCGATGGTCGAGCACGCGGCGATGTCGATCAACTCGGGCAGGCGCGGTGTTGATGGCCGGGCCGCGTGGGGGTCCATGAGGCACGGCTGGGCCTTCGGCGAGGATCCCGCCTGCTTCGCGGAGAAGGTGCTGCACCTCCCAGGGGGCAAGCGGAAGGTCGACATAGAGGAAGGACATTCTTCTCGGGGTTCTACCTCGGGCCCACGCCGCGCACCGACGAGGTCAACATCGGCTCGTAGCTCGGCGCGCTGCGTGCCAGCACCGTCAAGCGACTACCGATTGACCAGCGAGGCGACCAGGACTTGTTGAACGCTTTAGTGGGGAAGCCGTGGGGGCCTGCGCTGGCGAATGCGATTATTGATGAGGTGCCGGTGGCCACTGAAATCCGCGTGCCAGGGCCGGCTGTGCCGGCTTGGGCCCCAGTGCCGCCTGTCGTGCCGGCCGACGCCCCAGTGCCACCGGTCCCCGATGGAGTTGGCCTCCCACCACGGGCCCCTCGAGGCGCGCGGCCGAGTGGTGGGCCGCGAGCCGTCTAAGTCAGGAAGGACTTCGACATTGCGAAGTATGGCGCTACCCCTAATCGCTGCGGCAGTGTTGCGATCCACCTCGGTGTTCGGGCGCAGGCTCACTCTGCCGATCGCCGCGCTCGGATCGAGCAGGCGATGCTCGAGGGCGACGCTGCGAGGCAGAGGCTCGAGGAGGCCCGAGATCGGAGGCGACGGCGTGGGGATGGCGGGGGAGGCGGTTCGTCTGGCAGCGGCGGGCCGGCCCCAGTGGCGCCAGCTCCAGCGGCCGCTCCGGCCGCCGATGCGGGCGCGGCCCTGGCTCCTCCAGACCTGGGCGGCGGCGACCTGCAGGAGGAGATCGAGGCGCTGCCGCTCTCGCTCGGCTACAGCTGGCGCCAGGTTGACGTGGTGGAGGCGTTCTGCTCGAACCGGCTCGGCGGCTTTGCGCCGCTCTTGTTGCTGAGCCACGGCGGTTCGTTCGATGTCGGGGTTGGTTGGGGCTTGTCCAGCCGTCGCCACGGCGGCAGTGCCTCGAGCTGGCTGAGCGCTGCCAGCCGTGCTTCCCCCTGGGCAGCCCTCGCTGTGCTCCGTTCTCCATGCTGGAGTACCTGGGCGAGGATTCCGAGAATCAGCGCCAGGCTTATGCCATCGGGTACGAGCATTTGAGGTTTGTGGTGGAGCTGTGCGCGCTGCAGGTCGGGAATGGCCGCGCGTTCCTTAACGGGCGCATTTGGGGCGCCGACAGCTGGGCCTGGATGTCGCGAAGAACGTGATGGCCCTCCCTGGCGCGGTGGTCGAGCGAGGGGGCCAGCGCGCGTTCGGCCTCGCGGTCCCGGGCGCGCGCGGCGACAGGCTCGCCAAGAAGCCGACAGGGTGGATTAGCGACAACATGGAGGTTTGGGTAGGTTTGCAGGCGCTGCCCTAACGACACGGGGATTGGCCCCCAGCACGAGCACTCCGCCTTCGTTGGCCGGAACATGCGCGCAGCGGAGAGGAACCCGACGAAGCTTTTCCGAGCCGTGCTGCGTGGTCTCCGCCAGCGCCTCTCGGACAAGAAGGCGCTCGCTCTATCTGCCCTCGATGCGGGGCCGAGCGTGGGCGACGAGGTTGTCAGCTTGAAGGGCCTAGCCGCGAGCTCGGCTGCAAGCCTTTCAGCGCGCGCCGGATTGACGTCGACGGGTGACTCGAGCGGGCCCGACTACAGGTCGCGTCTCGTCGCGCAGGAGACTAAGGCGCAGAGCACCATCGATGGGGATGGCCTCGGAGCCGGCGACCTCCGAGACAGTCGTCGGCGCCGGCTGCGACTTGTCGGCCTTCCCCCCGCGCGTGCAATGCCAGAGGGGCGAGCAGGTGGGCTTCTTCCACCACGGCGAACGGCGACGACTTCGCGCCCGAGGGCCCCCGCAAAGATGCGGAGGCGATCCGCGAGGTGTTGAGTGCGAGTTCATCGTGGAAGATCGTGGCGTGCTCGGGCCAGCCCCGACCGACCAGCAGGAGATCGCTGTCTCGACAGAGTCTTGCGCTGGCGAGACTGGCGGAGCCAGGGCGGCGAGGCCGTCGTGTGCGGGGCGGGCCCAGGGCGCGCGCAGATCCTCCATGCGCAGCTGGGAAAGGCGTCTGACACGATGTCATTGAGCACGCCCGCGGTGCGAGCTAGAAGTTGACGCCTGAGGTTGAGCGCGAGCTGTCCGAGTCCGAGGCGGCCGAGTACCGCAGCGCGTGCATGGGGCTGGGCTACCTCGCGCTCGACCGCCTGGAGTTGCAGTTCGCCGCGAAGGAGTGCGCCCGCGGCGTGCAGAAGCCGACGGAGCGCCGCCGCAGACTCCTGAAGCGCACTGGGCGTTCCTCGTGGGAGCCCCGCGTGCAGCGCTGAGGTGGGGCCGCCGAAAGGGGCCCGCCTTTCTGGACATCTACTCTGACGCGGACTGGGCTGGTTGCCCGATCGCCAGGAGGAGCACCAGCTCCGTCGTGATCTAGCATGGCCAGCATCTGATCGTGACGGCCTCGACGACCCAAATCCCGATCGTCTTGAGCTCAGGCGAGGCAGAGTTCCACGGCTGCGTGCGAGCTGCCAGCAGGGCCATCAGCATGCAGGTCTGCGTCGAGGCGTCGGTCGGGAGCTGAGCCTTCGCGAGTATGGGGTGATTCGGGCGCGGCCCTCGGCGTCGGGCAGCGCCGAGGCTGCGGCGGGGTTCGTCACCTCGAGACGCCGACGCCGTGGGCCCAGCGGGCCCTCCGCGACGACTAGCTTTGAGCACAATGAATGTAGAGCTCTCGGATGCGCCCCGCTCGAGTGCCCTCCAGGCGAAGGTCTAGGGGGCCCGCTTATGACAGCGGCCTTTTTGGCGTGCAGTTCTTCAGCCTCCACGCCATCTTTTGCCTGGGACGGGCAATGGGCAGGGCGCGTCCCAGTGTTCGAATTGATCCTGCGACGTCTGTGCTGTTTAGATGTTTAGATCGGGCCAAGTGTTGCACGGGTTTGAGTCGCGCCTGGGCAACAGAGCCGGGCGGCGCGAAGGGGGCTGCATAAACCCACCGCCCCCTGTTTTGATTGTGCTCAAAGAGTGTCTGGATATCATGATGCGGCGCGCGCCGTTGATGTTTCGGCCCACCTTTGCAGGCAAGCATCCCGAGAAAAGATCTCGCCAGATCTGTTTCTGGCGTCGCCTCCCCGGTGGCGTCTTCAGCTCGTGGTAGAGGTAGTCCTTCGGGCACGTGATGCAGTGGGGATTCGTGCCCTTCTCGGTGTGCGTGATGGTCGTTTCTGGCCATGTCCAGGTCCGCCAATGCTTCCGTCGAGCGCTTGGTTGGCCCTGGTGGGCCTCAAGGGTCTGGACCGCTACGTGAGGTTGTGGCCCCAGTTTCTCCCAACAGACGGCGTAGTGCCCGAAACATTTTCGCGTGGCCAACTGCGTGGGGTTCGACCACATGTCCTCTGATACCAATATGAAACAACATCCAACAACGCATCCATTTGCTTCCTCAGTGGTACACAGCAGGAGCTGCAGCTTGGCGGAAGGTGTCAATTGTCTACTTGGGTGGTATCGCCAGGCCCATTCCAATAGCAATCGTGGTTGCCGTGAGGGATCGCACCTGTTTCCCTTTCTCACGGATGCTGAGTGGCAGCCTCTGTATCTACTCAGGTCGCGGATTGGCGTCCTCAAATCTCTGTAGCAGCAACGTAACATTCTATCCGCCAGTCGCCACGACCTTACGTCCCACCAGCTGGATATTGTCCTTGACCGTGATCTGATCTCCAGCCCTGCAATCCGGATCTCCTGGATGGCGGGCTTGTCATTTTCTTGCGTCGTCTACGCCAGGGTTGTTCTTGGATGCACTTGCTGACCTGAGTACCCGTCGAAGTCGATAGTCTCCACAATCGAAGCCATCAGCCCTCTGGTTGTGTGGACCATGCTGTTCGAGTCGCCAAGGGATGTTACCGATAGGCTGCGAGGTATGTACCTGTGCTGCCTAGCCGTCCACACATACATGAGGAGTTTTGCACCATCCAGACTGAGGCTGTTGCCTTGCAGATGCCCGTTCGTTGTGCGGAAGAAGAGCCCATAGGATCCCGCCGTCGTGGTGGCCCGCTGGTGCTTCTCATAGAACTGGGTTCTGACGTCCACAATCGGTTTGGGGCACCCAGCACGCGTTTGGAGCCCCATGGTCACTTCCGTAATGACGAAAGCAACATTTCTTTGTTTGTCCAATGCCACGCCATGTTTTTCTTCGCCCTGGTGATAGCCTACCTCCAGGTGTAGAGCGAGGCTCGTCGACACGTTGTGGAGGTCAGCGCCAGCAGCAGCTCCTTAGCTAGTTGCGTGCGTCCACCTGGCTCCCCATTCGGATAAGCTTTTGTACGCTGGCGCGTCCCAAGCATACCACCATATCTTGAAAACTGAACGTAATCGTTGTTCAAGCGGGTATTCGTCAGTGCCCTTGTTGAGGCAAGGGTCGGCCACCGCTACAGAAACTTAGGGTATCGAGTTCGTGGTCAGCATCCATGTTCGACCCTCGGCGAAAATAGCAGTGATAGTTAGGCTTGGTGAAAGCACGTGACGAAGAAGAGAACGAGGAGGAGGAGGAGGAGGAAGAGGAGGTGGAGGGGGGAGGGGGGAGAAGGAGGAGGAGGAAGAGGAGGAGGAAGAGGAGGAGGAAGAGGAAAGAGTGCGGTGGAGGAGGAGGGGGAGGCTCCTTGGAGCATGCGGGTGGGCTCATGGGTCACAGCGGAACGCAGAATCGCTTAGGAATTCCGAGTCGTTGGGGTCTGACACGGTGGCTGATATGGGGGGAGGTGACATCACACTCCTGGTGACCTCAACGGCGTCGGCGGATTTGCGCTATTACGTTTGTGGCTCTCGGCACTTCTTTGCCCGACACGTTTGCCTCCAGAACGGCTGCTATGCAAGACCCCACAGCTGACAATAGCATTGGCAACGTCACTGGGAGCAACTCCGTCAACGTCTTCCTAGGCCTTGGGTTATCATGGTTCCCTGCCGCCGTATATTGGGAGTTCAACGGAGAGGACTTTGAAGTGGATGCAGGTTCGCTTGGACCAAGCGTCGCAGTGTTCTGCGGCTGCGCCCTTGCCTGCATCGCTCTCCTGCTCGTCCGGCGGTGGGTGGTTGGAGCGGAGCTCGGGGGGCCTGTCTTCTTCGCAAGGGTTTCAAGCGCTTTCCTCGTTTCGTTGTGGATTATGTATATTGTCTTGTCCGTCATCATTGAGGAGTCAGCTTGAGCTTGTTTTTGACGGCCCTCTTAGGCTTTGCTTGCTGCGATCAGTTTTCTGCCTACTCCGTGCAGTTATGCTTGGGAGTCCGTAGGCCTTGTCAGGGCTCGTTTCACCTTATGTGTTTTTGACTGCACCCCCGCATGCCACACTCCGTGCATCCTCTTAGGGGATTGCTCGGCCGACCCAGCTCTTGATGCAAGCACGGCCCCTGTAAAACTGGCTATGCTATGTAGTTTCGCAGCTGCATCATGGTTCCCCGCCGCATGGCGGGGCGGGCATTTGTGGCGCTGATGCGCTTCCGTGCATTGCCCGGTCCCCAGACGGTGACCGTTCAGAGTTCCGTTCGGCTCTCATTTTCCCTTTTCCCCCTCGTCCTTCTCCTGCCCAGGTCTGGGAGCATTTTCACAGGTTTGTGGTGGTGAGCGCTTCGTTACGCTTATGCCTAAAACACATCATCCGCCCAGCCTGCTCCACATCTTTCGGAGGACTTTCAGCTGTTCGGTGGAGGATGAGCTAGGAACTCGCGTGCATCAAACTCAGATCGCATCGTGATACGGGCCACTTGTTTTCGGAAGTGGCTCGTGGCTCCTAAGCTGCTTCCTCATGCTCTCCCTCGGGCGCAGCCTCGTTCTCTGTTGCGGGTGCCATAGGGCAAGGCGTTGGCTGCGCGAGGTGCAGGCCGTCGTCGGTCGCAAACCATTTCAGCACAGCGCACCCTTGCACGTCTGACCTGCTCTCGGCGCTTTTTGATCCACCAGTGCGCTGGTCAAGGAGTCTCGAAGCAGATGCTGACTTCGCCATCTCGCACCATGTCCTACCGACAACGGCACCTCTGGATGATGAGATTTTTGTTGGGGGGATGGGTGCAGCTTTCGTTTAGTGAGTGGCGTCGGATCGGGTTCGCGATCCGTCACTGTAACGGTCTCGTTTTGCTTCTACCGATACAGCATCCAATCGGCTTCATCAAATTACCCAGGTCGCCACATCTGCGCACGCACATACATGTGCACATGCACGTTCATGTTTTGTTTTGGTTGGTTTTATTCATTATCACTGTTATTCTCCCTCTTTTTATCGCTCGCGCTCTCTCTCTGTTTCTCCCTCTATATTTCCATGTATACACATCCATATTGCTCTCTCTCTCTCTCTCTCTCTTTCTCTCCCTCAATCTCTCCCGCTCTATTCATCTTTCCATGTTCCATATACGTTTGTATGTAATCATGTATGTAAGTTTGAATGCACTAGTGTGGGATTGTGACTCTATTCCACGGACTTGAGCGGATCGACGTTTGGTGGCGCGTGTTGGATTGTGCGAGGCCAGTCTGTCAGCTACTGCCGTAGATTTTTTGAAGCTTGTTCTCGTGATCCCCCACTGACCTCGCCCAACGCGCTGATGTGGGGGCCGAGGGGTTGGAGCTTCACAAACAAATCCAGAGTCCAGGCCGGGTCAGTGTTGGAGCATTCGCGCCGGGATCGCTCTGGGCGCTGGAGCTGGCCAGAGCAAACGCGGCGCCGTCTCGAGCAGCGTCGGAGGCGTCAGAACGGCCTCGCGGCAAAGTAAGGACCGCAGCGGGGCAACGGTTTCAGGATGTCCGAAACGCGAAGCTCCGAACCAATAATTCGACGCACATGTTGCAACATATCGCCTCTCTTTCTCGCCGCCGACCCCGCGGAGCGACGAGGCGTCTTCGTCGTCGTCGTCGTCGTCGCCCAGAAGAGAGGTTTCCAGGGTGACTGGAGCGGCAAAAACTGTATTGAAGCCTCCAGGGGGCCGTTGCGGATCCCCTAGAGTGATCTTTTGGGCCTCGTAGCGGTCCTGGGGCTCTTTTACGCTGTGTGGGGCGCCTGTCGGACCGTTTCGGAGCCGTTTGTATTAGGCCATCTTGGGCGCTTCTTCGGCCGCCCGGGGAGCATCTTGGGCTCTTTTGGGTCCCTCTTCGGCCCCACTTTGGATTGTGTTGGGACGTCTTGGACGCCTCTTGGGCCATCTGGAGCCATGTTGGGGCGTGGGGTGATCTTGAGGCCCCTGGGACCATCGTGGACGCTGCGAGGAGCAGAAAACGAATGAACTGAAAGTGGCAGTTTTGTCCAAAGGGAATGTTGGGATCTGTGCTGGATGGGTCTTTGCTGAGGGTTGCTTTGAAGTTCCGTGGAGGCGTTTTAGCGGCTTGTGGGGCACCGAGGATGGATTTTGGAACCGTCTTTGGCCGTTTGGGGGGCTTCTTAGGGGGCTGAAGGCGATTTGGGGGACTGGGGCTGCTCTGGGACCGCGTGGGTGACTTTTAGAGCCGTGTATTGCCATTTGGGGCCCTCTTGGGGCCGCTGTGGGGCCGCTTTGACGCCTCGTGGACCGGAGGCCCGCCCCCCCTCCAAACGCACAAGAGGCCATTTGGCAACTGCTTTGGGCGCGTGGTCCAAGAGCTGTTTCCCATCCTTTTGCATGGTTAAGCTCACTTCTATACACAACATGGTACACACGAGGGGCACGTGAGGCGCATTCGTTTGACTTGGTCGATGCCTGTCTATGTATATGATTGTATATGTATATGTCAATGTGTGTACATGTATCGGAGGTGAGGGGGTGAGATCGAAGTGGAACGGAGAGCCCCCCTACCGGGAAATCGGTTTCGGTTGCGTGCCGTGCGTGCGTGCGTGGCGAAGCTGCGTGGGCGGGCGAGAAGAAAGTCTTCTCCGGCTGAGGCGCGGCTGGACCAAATGATTCCCTTCCGGGGGCCGGTGGCCCGCGGTGACCCGCCGGTGTCCCGCGTCCAGCTGAGGCGCGGCCGGACCAAATGATTCCTTTCCGGGGGCAGGTGGCCCGCGGTGCCTCGCCGGTGTCCCGCCGGTGTCCCGTCGGTGTCCCGATGATGATGATGATGATGATGATGATGATGATGATGATGATGATGATGATGATGATGATGATGATGATGATGATGATGGTGATGATGACGACGATGGTGATGGTGATGGTGATGGTGATGGTGATGGTGAGGGTGAGGGTGATGGTGATGGTGATGATGATGATGATGATGATGGTGCCCCGATGATGATGAGGTTGATTATGATGCTGTTGATGATGGTGATGATGATGGTGTCCCGATGATGATGATGATGCTGATCATGGTGCCCCGGTGATGATGATGATGTTGATGATGAGGATGATGATGAGGTGATGATGATGATTTTGATGATGGTTGCCCGATGATGGTGTGATGATGATGCTGATGATGATGATGGTGTCCCGATGATGATGATGATGATGATGATGATCATCATCATCATCATCATCATCATGATGGTGATGATACTGGTGACGATGATGATGCTGATAAGATGATAGTGAGATGATGGTGATGATGATGATGATGAAGATGATGATGATGATGATGATGATGATGATGGTGCCCCGATGATGATGAGGTTGATTATGATGCTGTTGATGATGGTGATGATGATGGTGTCCCGATGATGATGATGATGCTGATCATGGTGCCCCGGTGATGATGATGATGTTGATGATGAGGATGATGATGAGGTGATGATGATGATTTTGATGATGGTTGCCCGATGATGGTGTGATGATGATGCTGATGATGATGATGATGGTGTCCCGATGATGATGATGATGATGATCATCATCATCATCATCATCATCATGGTGATGATACTGGTGACGATGATGATGGTGTCCCGATGATGATGATGTTGAGGATGATGTTGCTGATGATGATGATGGTGTCCCGATCATGATGATGTTGATGATATTGTTCATGCTGATGATGTTGATGATGAGATGATAATGATGATGATGCTGATGGTGGTGCTCCGATACTGATGATGATGGTGTCCCGATGATGCTGATGTTGATGATGATGATGATGATGGTGACGATGATGGCGTCCCGGTGATGATGATGCTGATGATGATGATGGTGATGGTGA